TTTGCAGTTTTTGGGCAGGGCTGGGTTTGAACCCACCACCTTCAGTATAAGGGGCTGGCGCCCTACTCCTTTGAGCCACAGGCACTGCACTATATAGTTCTGTTTTTAATTATAATTCTTAAATCAATCTTAGTCATACATAAATAGGAATACATATTTCTTGACAACATTTGAAAAAATTTAATTTTGAATTAAAGTGGTTTTTTAAGATTATAGAAACCAAAATATTTCTAAGTTTGCTGTAATAAGTTTTAATTCTGTCTTTTCATTTCCATAACAGACAAAACCTTCAACTGTAGAAGTTCTAGAAAGTATAGATAAGGTACGTTCTTTCTATAAGGTATTTTAATTTAAGTATTTAGTAAATATTACTTTAGTAAGTATCATTTTGGAGACCAGATCTGATATGTTACATGATCTCAAAAAAATCAAAAGTCTATCAGTGACTTAAGAAGTCTGTTATCAAGTAACAAGAGCCTATTAGCCTGTTAGAATGAAATTAGTTCTACAGCATGGTGTAAATCAATGTAAGCAATAGGATGAAGTAGATTATAAGATAGTCTGCAATAGTTTTCACAGCTTTTTATATTTTCTATCATCAAAAATGGTTATTTCCTGGGAATACTGAGAGTAGTGAATAGAGAGTTAAAGAATCTACTGTGGGTCCCTGTTTTAATTTAATTAATTCTGTTTTATATTGCTAGATTTTTCATTTTTTAGGCCTATATATAGGGAAAATTAATACTTGTTTGACTTGATAATTATTTACTGATGCCAATTTAATTCCTCAAATCTTTGCCAATTTATTAGGTTAAAAACAGTATTAAATTTTGCATTGTCAAAAGTGATTTGTTTAATGTACATAGCCATTCAATAAAAAAAAAAAAGTGATTTGTGAGAATAGGCACTAAAAATTTTTAACTCCGTTCTTTAGTTTTTTTTTTTTTCATATTATGCTTTGTTTCAAACAGGGCATTATATTCTATTGAATTTTAAGGGCTCTGTCTTAAATATAACTTTTCTGTCATATTAAATTTTTTTAAATATTTTAATTTTTTATGAAGTTTGAGATTTAGTAATAATGGAATAATTTTCTCTTAACAGGAAATTCAAGCATTGGAAGAATTTAGAGAAAAAAATCAGAGATTACAAAAATTATGGGTTGGAAGATTAATTCTCTATTCTTCAGTTCTCTATCTGTTTACATGTTTAATTGTATACTTGTGGTATCTTCCCGATGAGTTTACAGCAAGACTTGCCATGACACTCCCATTCTTTGCTTTTCCACTGATGTAAGTAAATTCTTCTTTTTGTTGACTTTTCCCTTTTCTGACAAGATAGTTTGAAAATATATTTAAATTTACATCATATATTCAAGCTCTTTTTATTATTAAATGATAATAGATTAAATAAATTGAACAGAATTTTTGCAGTTTGATAAAATTTCTTTAAAATAGTAGAACAATTATTTTAAACTTTTATTTATAATTTAACATACCTGAGGAATATCACCTGGTAATCCTAGTAGTAATGGCTCTATGTGGCAATATTTTGTGATTTTCTAATAGATGGCTGTGCATCCTTAGGGGCACATTGGGCATGGAGTGGGGAGTAATGGCAAGTGGGGGAGGGTTTGTACAACCAAAAGAATAATTGCTCAAATACTTCTGAATATACTCCACTCATCCCAACTCTCTTCCCCTCGTTTTAGCCTAGAAAGCAATTGACCCTTATTATAGAAATGTTTTATATTTGTAGCACTATATGGGATATATGTCATAATAAAGCATTTTGAGAGACAGCTGAATTAAAAGTTTGTTCACTCAGTCAACAAACTGAGTGAACAGACATAAATCATATTTATGATATGCGGTATACAAAAATATAAAATTTCTGTAGATCTTAGAGTACATACATTAATAAGTTTGAATAATGTTATGAAAGAGGTACAAAATGTTATGGAAACTTTTAATAGGGATACTAACCTAGTCAGATGGGAGTTAGGGAAGGGCCTGTGTATTCGTTTTCCATTGCTGCCACAAATTTAATACCTTCAAACAGCACTCATTTGTTATGTAAATGTTCTGTATGTCAAAAATTCAGGTGGCTTGTCTGGGTGGCATTTCACAAGGCTAAGTCAAGGTATCAGCTGGTTTGAAGTCTTATCTGGAGTATCTAGGGGGAGAATCTGCATCCAGGATCAATCAGGTTATTGGCTGAATTCTGCTGCATCTCTCTGATTTCCTATTCTACCCTGGGAGAAAGCTCTGCTTTTAAGAGCTTAAGGGATTATATTAGACCCACCAAGATAATCCAGGATAATATCCCTATCTTGAAAAATCGAGAAAGTAATAACCTTAATTAAATCTGCATAGTCCCTTCATAGCAGTATCTACATTACTATTTGATTGCATAAGCACAGGATGGAAAGCTTGGAATAAGGGGAAGGATTTCTTTAGATTTCTGCCTACTACAGACTCCCTGAGGAAATGATGTTTGAGTTTGTGACCTGAAGGATGAGTATGTGTATCTAGAGTTGTGTGTAGTGGATAGAGTGTTTAGGCAGAAGAACAGCATACTCCAAGACCTGGAAGTAGGCTAGAGCATGGTAGATTTAAAGAATTAAAAGAAGGAAAAAACTGGATTATAGAGAAAAGGTTAGGTAGTTAGGGAATGCATATTTCTTTTTTCTTTTTTTTTGAGACAGAGTCTCACTGTGTTACCCTTGGTAGAGTGCTGTGGCATCACAGCTCATAGCAACCTCCAACTTGGGGGCTTAAGTGATTCTCTTGCCTCAGCCTCCCAAGTAACTGGGACTATAGGCGCCCGCCACAATGCCTGGCTATTTTTAAATTATAATTGTCATTGTTGTTTGGCAGGCCTGGGCTGGTTTCGAACCTGCCAGCTCTGGTGTATGTGGCTGGCATCCTAGCCACTGAGCTACATATAGGTGCTGAGCTGGCAATGGATATTTCATGTAGACCGTATAGTCCATGATAAAAAATTTAGGCTTTATTCTAAGAATAGTGGGAAGCCATTGTAGCTATTGGGGCTTACACAGTGGGGTATCAGTGATATGAGAATAAAAAATGGATCTGGTAGAAAAAGAGCATTCACTAAAGCTTTATTTTGTTGCGGAAAAAAGCAGCATATATCACTTTACTACAGAATAATAAAATATTCTGATTTTAGGTATGAAAAAAAATGGTCTGGAGCAAGAAGTGAGAAGGTTATTATAGTTGCCTAGGAGGGAAATGATGGCTGGTGATTTGCCCTGGAGTAGTGGAGTTGAGAAGCAGGTGGACTAAATGAAAGAGATGGATTGAAGAGATTTAGGAGGTAGAGTCGAAATAATATGGAGAGGCTTTTGGTGACTAATTGGAAATGGGGTGATGGGGAGGAATCACATCTAGGATAAACCCAGGTTTTTGGCTTGGAAAATTTAGTTGATGGTAGTGAAATTCATCTAAATAGTGAGCCACATGAGGAGGAACAGGTTTGGTGACCCACTGGGACTAAAATACCTGTGTGTTTCCTAGACGGAGCTGCCAGGAGAGAGTTAAATATGGGTATGAAGTTCAGAAGTGAAATGTGAATGGGGAACATGTGTACAAATTTAGGATTTGGCAGCTTATAAATGTTAGAGTTATCATCTGTTCATTCATTATTGGGCACCTGCAATGTGTTAAGTATTGATAGAGCCTAGTGATAAAAACAATTCTACTGGGGTTGGAAAGAGAAAAAATAGAGATGAGTAAGCAAGGAAACAGTTAATTTAGAGAGAGATAAGTGCAATGAAAAAAAATATACAGAGTGATATGATAGAAATAGGCTACTTTAGGATGGTCCAGGAAGGCCTCTTTTGAGGAATTGGTATTTGGGTAGTGAACCAAAGTTTGAGGAAGAACCAATATGGAAAGAGCTTGAATTTATAGAAGATTATTTATACATATATGTACAATAACACATATATTTATAGATATGTGGGAAGATTATACTCAAAATATTAATGATAATGCTCTCAGAATTCTTTTTTTTTTTTTTTTTTTTGAGAGATAGAGTCTTACTTTGTCACCCTGGGTAGAGTGCCCTGGTGTCATAGCTCACAGGAACCTCAAGCTCCTGGGCCCAAGAGATCCTCTTACCTCAGCCTCCCCAGTAGCTGGGACTATAGGCACCTGCCACAATGCCTGATTATTTTTTTTAGAGGTGGGGTCTCACTCTTGCTCAGGCTGATCTCAAACCTGTGAGCTCAGGCAGTCCCCCTGCCTTGGCTCCCCATAGTCTTTAGGCATGAGCCACCAGGCCTGGCTGATATTTTCTTTTTGATTTGACATTTAGTGGAGATAGAATCTTTTTCTTTGGGAATACCATAAAAAATTCTGTTTCTTTACTCGTTCATGCAGGGCATATTTTCAAAATGGAACTCCTATAGCTCATAAAAATTTTAATTTATATGTAGATACAAGAGCTTAAATTGAGTGCATTCACAATATTGTAAAAGAATTATCTCTGCTAATTTATTGATTTTCCTTCTAAGTCTTCTTTGAAGACTTATGGAATGCTTTTTATCCTAAGTGTAGAGGTGGATTTTCTAATATTGAGCCATTCTACTTTGTTTCCCTGGTAATTTCCCTAAGAAATTTAGAAAGGGAATAAATATGAGATGTTTAGTTGATTTAAGCATTTTTAAGTACTTAAAAAGCCTGCTTTATATCTGTTTCCATATAGAGATTGATTTTCTGATTATAAAAGATTTGTATCTAGTTGCTAAAGAATGTCTGATAGGGACCTCTAAGGTGCTAATTCAAGCAGATATCCACAAATTGTGATCTACTAGATCTGCTATTATGACTCATAAGAATTTGTTTTTTGGCAAAGAAAGCATACACTGATTGTTCTTTAAATGAAGAAAAACTATTTTTTAAATAAATAATTTTTTACCATAAAAACACAGTATAATAATAATAAATGTAATTTCTTCAGTTTGATTTTTCTTCATTTTGAGTATGGGGTTTTATTATCCTTACTGTATCCCTCTGGCTGTTCTACATCACTTGCATCTTGTATTTCTTGGCTTGTTCAACTTCAGAGTCATTTTTCACTTTGTATCATTCACTTTTGTGACCTTGTCCTCAACTGTTGTAGTTTCTATATCAATGAGCTCTTCACTTTTGGAAGTATAGACTAGTTTTCAACAAAGAGTAGAATTGTTCTTCTGATCCATGACAATCAAAAAAGCATGAAATAAAACACAACAATGTGAAAGTTGATATCGTGATAAGTAGAAAGAAGACACGGCATTTTCTTTTGTGAACCCAAGCATGTCCCTGGACTTTTTTTCTTTTGGAAAAGTGTCTTAGTCCATCCAGTTTTGCTATAAAGGAACACCTGAGGCTAGGTAATGTATCAAGAAAGGAGGTTTATTTGTCTCATGCTTTTGTGGGCTGTACAAGAAGCATGGCACCTGTATCTGCTTCTGGGAAGGACTTCAGGCTGCTTCCACTTGTGGTGAAAGGAGAAGGGGAGCCAGCAGGTGCGGAGAGCACCTGACAAAAAAGAGCAAGCAAAAGTGGTAGGAGGTGGCTGGCTTTTTTTTTTTTTTTGAACAAACAGCTCTCCTGGGAACTGATAGAGCCAGGACTGCCTCCTCAAGGGAAGGCATTAATCTGTTTATGAGGAATTCAGCCCCATGACCCAGACATCTCCCATTAGGCCTTACCTCCAACATTGGGGGTCATTTCTTTTCTTTCTTTATTTCTTTTTTTTGGGGGGGCGGGTAGAGTCTTACTTTGTTGCCCTCAGTAGAATGCGGTGTCATCACAGCTCATAGCAATCTCAAACTCTTGGGCTTAAGTGATTCTCTTGCCTCAGCTTCCCAAGTATTTGGGACTACAGGCACTCACAATAATGCCAGCTATCTTTTTATAGACAGAGTCTTGCTCTTGCTCAGGCTGGTCTCGAACCTGTGAGTTCAGGCAATCTACCCACCTCAATCTCCCAAGTGCTGGGATTATAGGTGTGAGCCACTGTACCCAGACTGGGGATCAAATTTCAAGATGAGGTTTGGAGGGGCAAATAACTAAACTATACCAAATAGTTTTGAGGGGTGCCCTAGATTTACTTAAAAACTGGAGGCAGAAGGAGCAATAAAGTGTATTATTTTGTTTATCATTGTCTATATTGATTATATCGCTTAGAAATCTACCTGATATGTGCAAAAAGTGAATGCTATCTCCATGTTTCGAGTTTCCCAAATGCTTTTAGTAGAAAGATCATGGATCATCAGGAC